TCAACCGTCGCTTTATGTTGGGTTGATTCTTCACTCCACCGTTGGGATACGTTTGTCGCGAACCGAGTGGCCAAGATCCAAGACGAGTTAGGATCGCGGAACTTTTATCACGTGTCCGGTACGGAAAACCCTGCCGATTGTCTATCCCGTGGACTCACCCCGACGCAAATAATGGACCATCCGCTTTGATTCCATGGACCTTCTCGGGTTCACTTGGAACCCTCGCAGTGGCCAATAACCGATTTCGACTCTTCGTCAGTGTCCCAACCACTGGAAGAGAAGAGGCATGCTCTGGTTGCGAACGTTTCGAGCGAGGTTTCTCTAATCATTGCTTTGGCGAACCGTTTGTCCTCTTGGTCGAAATTATTGCATAGCGTGATTTACGTATGTCGATTCGCGAAGCTTTTACCGCGACGTTTGTATATCATAGCGTCCGATTACAGCTATGCCGAGTTGCTAGTATTGCGTGAACTTCAACGTGCGCATTTTTCCGATGAAATTACAAGATTACAATCGAATAGAACTTGTGGTCGTGCTTTTCAACGTCTTAAGCCATTTTTAGAAGATGGAATCGTCAGGGTATGTTGGCGCTTGTCTAACTCGCAGTTGAGTTTCGACCAACGGCACCCTATAGTTTTACCGCGTAAGGACCATGTCATGAATTTATTAGTAGATTACTACCATAAATTGAATTTTCACGCTGGCCCCGACTTGCTGATGTCAATCTTGCGTCAGAATTATTGGATTCTTTCAGCACGTAATTTAATCCGCAATCGGGTGCACAGATGTATGGCTTATTTTCGAGTACGTCCTAAGCCGTGATTTCCGGAAATGGCGGAACTTAGGTCTTGTCGAGTAACACAATCCGTAAAGCCCTTTATGCACATCGGGTTTGACTTTGCTGTTCCGTTTAAGGTCACGCTCACTCGCGGGCGTGGTATAAGATCCACAAAAGCTTACGTTTGCATTTTCGTATGTCTGACTACTCGGGCTGTGCATATAGAACTCGTTGGTGATCTAAGCACAGCGGGCTTCATGGGTGCATTTAAAAGATTTCTTTCCCGCCGTGGCCCTGTAAGTAAATTGTATTCGGATAACGGTACAAACTACGTCGGCGCGAAACGTTATTTATCAGAACTACATAAGCTTTTAACCAGTATTATAATTCGGAGTTCGCTCACATACTAACCGAGAACCGCATCGAGTGGTCTCTGAACGTCCCGGCCGCGAGCCATTTTGGGGGAAATTTGGAGACTAATATTAAGAGTCTAAAGAGTCATTTATACCGAGTAATAGGAGATCAAATTTTGTCCTTCGAATAGTTAAGTACTGTGCTCGCTCAAATTGAGTGCGTCATGAATAGTCGCCCACTTTGTCGTACGTTGTCAAGTGACCCCTCGGAGCCGCTGGCTGTAACTCCAGCACATTTTTTGAAATTAACGCCTTTGAAATATCTGCCCGCCATAGACATGGACGAGAATAAACTTAGTATTTCCGCACGCCATAAATTATTGGACCGGTTGGTGCAGTCGTTTTGGAAACGATGGAAGATGGAATACTTGCATACGTTGCAGTCTCGGCAAAAATGGAACACATCAACTGAACCTTTAACTGTCGGAACTGAGGTTGTGCTTACAAAGGAGAATACGCCGCCTCTCCATTGGCCATTAGGGATCGTCGAAGAAGTTTTTCCCGGTTCCGACGGGGTAACTAGGGTAGCTCGCGTTAGGACCACGACTGGGTCTTACATGCGCCCTGTTGTCCATTTTTGCCCTTTGCCTATTCAATAGTTTGAATTAGCTTTCTAGATTAGAAATTGCAGTCGAAAATTAGGTTTAATCTTAGCGATAGTTATTTTGAAGGGGGGGTTCAAGCCGGGGGGGGGGATGGTTACGCGGAAACGATTCGTGTGTTTTAATTTTATTCGAGGGTATATTGCCAAGCGTTTACCCATCCTTTGACCTAATATCCCTTCCGTACACACTGAAAGGGGAAAGGGGGGAGTCTAGAAGGTGACGCGATTCTTTCGACCAATGAGAAGCGCGCTCGACCGATGTGCTTGGTGGGAAGAGCCGAGACAATAAAGGCTCGCGCGCGGTCCTCGTGCAGTCTCTTCCTTCGCACCACTGGCCAGGATCGCATCTCTGGGGCGCCCCAGAAGAACCCACCTCACGCCGCATCACCGCAACGGAAGCGTCGTCTGCCGCATTAGAATCACACCCCGGTAAGTGTGTTTTCAGTAATTTTATTTCTACTTGAGCATTTTGTTTGTTAGTTAACCGCCCCATTTCATTTCTCCTAATGTGCTCAAGTAGAATCCCCTCCTAACCTTGGCAAGCAATAGATTTGGAAGAGCGAGTGCATTGTCTAAGGTGTCGCGTGTCACATCCGCCATCTTGTTGAGGCATAAAAAGCTATCGCGTATACAGTCCACTTAGTACAACATCTCGCACAATAGGGTCAAGGCTCAACCTGGGAATCGAACTCGGGATTCCTTAGGCCCGCCGCCCAACCACCGACCATAACCTGATTTACCTTAAGCGCACTGTAAGCAATCATCTTTGTAAACCAGTAAGCAGACTTTAATGATTTTTCGACTCACCGTGATACTTTTGCAAAATATTATATTTGTAAGACCAAAACTGGTACCTGCCAGAGTTTTTTCTACATAATCGCCCATCGGAAACAGAATAGTTATATATTATAGTTGGTATCCCCTTGCAGTTGATTTCATGGATGCCATCATCCTGAAGTTGAACAGAAAGTACCAAATCTGTTTCATCTATTATCTTAATATTCTTTTATAGGATAAGGATGACAAGTGGGTGCTGTGGCTCATAGACATCTACCTTAAACCTAGATTAAGAATCAAAATGCAGGTGCGTTGTCACCCCTGAGTCTCCAGTTCTCTACACTCACCATACGAAACACAGCAGCATTAAAAGCTGCTATTTTACGCTGTTACTATGGTAACATCTAATAAATTGACGCATACAGGATTGAGACGTAACGCACGCACGTAAACAGATTGAAACTGCATTAGAATACCATTTCATTCGATTTTACTTGCATCTGTATGCAAGTCTGTTTTCACAATACGATTGTAGATAGCAAGTACGGGCCTTAAACTAATCGAGTATCTCGTAACACACACACTCACACTCACTCACACACACACACACACACACACACACACACACACACACACACACACACACACACACACACACAAACACACACACACACATAATCATACACACACACACACACACACACACACACACACACACACACATGCGTATGGACGTCCACATGAAATTAGTCAGTATAGCTTCCTGGGATCTCAAATCATTGAGATCTGATGAAAACTCGAATTTCGAAAATCGGGGTGAAACCAATAACTTCCCTATTTTTGAAAATTTTCAATTTTATAATTTCTCCGTAATAACTATGTAGTGCATAGTTAATAGTTATTACTCTATTATTTAATTCGATCAATATATGCTTATTGTTTCGTTTATCATTCGAATATTACTTATATAGTCTTCTATTACTTCTGACCTTGATAAAACTATAGAATTTCAATATTTTTGATGTCAAATAAGCAAAAAGATAGAGAAAAAGAATTCGGTAAAATAAACTTATATTTGATAAGATTAAACTGGAATGAATAAAAATATGATGTAAAAGTAGACTAGGGGATCGATTTAAAGAAACCAGGCCACGGATAAGACAGGCACTTATCCCTCATCTATCACTTCGTCAGAGACAACGGACAATGCGACCCTCCCGCCCCGAGCCGGACCCGAGCGGAATCCCTAATGCTTTATAGTCTTGTTGCGGTTTTCATCTTGTAGCGGTCTGACAGATTTATTGAAGTTGAAGCGACGCTTATGTAAGCTACTTACTTTGATTTATGTAATGTTTAGCCCGTAAGTATTAATTTACAAAAGAAGTATATGATGAATAATTGAATAAATCGTGTAATATCAGTGTAAGAATATCCACTAATCCACATCGTCCCGTGGGTGTCGTAAGAGGCGATAAATGGAAACAAACCAGGAGATGGGCAACAGCGTCTTCCTTATAGCATCAAAAAAAAACTGCTGTTCAAAATCCACTTCCAGTCCAATAGCAAATGGGTCAATGAGGAGGCTGGACTTTTGAAAAACTGTATTAATAATGATGATGTAACAGTGATAGATTAACGTTGCATCATTTCTCAACCAACTACTCACCACCAGTATAACATTGGTGATTATCACGTGTTTTTTTATTGTTAATTAGTTCTTATGTATATCGTAATCTTATATTATATAATGTTACTTATTATGTTGTAACTTTTTTTTTAATCGAAGGGAGGAATCTTAATATAGAATAACATATAATATGTTATTAAAGATGTATTTGATTATTAAGTACTTAACGATTTTATTGAAAGACTTTTTTTATTTACCGCGTGTCCGGAAAATTCCTCTTTCCTGGAAAGAACTACGAAGAAACCCGATGGGATTATATTTTCAGAGATAAAATTTGACAATAAATTCGTCCATTTTTATATTACTTATATGAATTACAAAGTAAACGGCATAGTATATGGTACAACTACATTGTTTTTATAGAAATAAGGTGACAAACGAGCACATCCACCTTTTGGTAAGTGGATGCTGTAACCAGAGGACATCTACCTTTCTTAAAATGTATATAATATATATTTTGGGTGGGTGGTTATATATAATTTGGGTGGTCCAAACTAAACGCACGATGTTATTGTAAATAAAACAAAAATTTTTTACAGAATTATCTTAATATTTTTATTGTGATAGAAGGATCTATGATAGTTATGTGTGGCACCTAGTTTTACAAGTGGCTCTTGACACTTGACCACTTGTAAAACTAGGTGGCTTGTAATCCAGAGATACGTCAATTAAATGGTTAACATAAAAGCTACATTAATTTGCGTTTCCTAAGAGCGGTTTCATCGACTGATCGACAGGAAATTAACTGAAACCCGCCGACGTTAATATCCTGTCTTTGCTGCGAGAAGCGGTTTCACCGAACTGAAGGTTCAATTGAAAAACAATTACATTTGATTTATCGATGACTAGCGATACGCCCCGCCTAGACCTGGATAGAATTTGTGAATGTTAAGTTTTTCTGATTAAATGTAGCCTAGATCACTCCTGATGTTGCTCTCCATCTGTTCGTAAAGTTTCATCACAATCGAAACTCGATAACAAAAAAAATAGTTATTTGTGTTTATCATGAAATAACCCAATGAGATTAATATAAGCCAGTTATTTCTATATCATAGACTACTGACAGACACTTCCATTTTATGAATATGTACATATTAAGCAATACGTGGTAGCCTTAGGCTGAGCGTTCTTAGTTAATTCTATAATAAACAGGCAAGACCAATTTGATTTTCACCAGAACTAATGTGAACTGCAATGATGAGTGTTCATCGGGGAAGAAAAACTTCGCAAAAGAGGCAGCATGTCTGAATTACTACGTTTAAAAACTTTCTGTGCGTTTGAGAAATAAAAAAAAACATTCAAGGACTTGTGAAGCCAACAAGGAGTAGCCGATTAACTGCTTTATAACTGTCATAGAATGTGAAAAGGCCTGTACAGAGCTGTAGGATGAACATAGACTGTATTTATACACTTTAAAAACCTTAAGCAAAAGTGTGATATCAGATTCATTACGTCTGTATTAAATAGATAATATATATGCATATATATAATGTAATTAAATAGATAATACATATAGTTTCTAGTAGAGTTGAAAATACGTCGATAGTCAGAATCGCTCAAGAGGACATAATTAGCATCACTGTATTTGAAAGAAAAAGAAACAAACATACCTGTCTATTTTCTAATGGTTAAGAGTGTGGAGTGTAAACTCGGAAAGTTGTGGGGTCGCCATTCGCCCACTGTCGTGAAACTTAAAAATTTAAATTTTAAGCCTACTTGCAATGGTTAATGAGAGTACTAAAACTCCCATTAACCATTGCAAGTAACTTACATTACTAAAAAATGTAGTAGTGGAGCCAAGCTGCAGCTATAATACATTTGTAGCACGAATGGATCGACTCGACCGTAGCAGGACCACGCTCCCGCTGAATACCAGCGGAAAACAGCAGCGTATTGCTGCTGTGCTTCATATGGTGAGTGTAGAGAACCGGAGATCCTTTTTACTGGAAACGAGGCAGTCCATCTTAGTCCTCAGGGGTGAAAACGCATTTGCATTTTGATTCTTGATTGAGGATGGATGTGGATGTCTATGGGCCACAGCATCCACTTACCATCAGGTGGAGTGTGTGCTCGTTTGTCACCCAATGCAATAAAAAAATTAGTAAATTAAAGAAACACATTTATTTGCGACTCAGTACTACAAGAATATTTACGGGAAAAGTATAATAATATTAATAAAAGAGACTTCCCATTTCCGGTTTGCTTACACCGAGGACAAATATGAGATTAGTCGGCAGTTACAAGATCTTTCGCTCATAGCTTTTAGCCTTCAATTACGAATGAAATTTGGTAACGAATTCACACGGCAACATAGTTTTGTATATTACTATTTAATGTATTAAAAAAACTTCCACCGGTCATCTTGCTTCCCGTACAAAAGTTTCCTCAAAGCAAAAACACGCCTTTGTTCCCTTCTGTTATTATTATAAAACGAGACCGCACAATAAGAAGCCGTGAAGAAATTGAATAAGTTCTCCATTTTCATTAAAAAAGGGAGCAAGCTATTATTGTTTTCTAAGTAAAATACAACGGATCAGGGATCTGAATGAAGAAGGAAAATTTTTGTGTACCTTTATTTTGTTCCTGTGATTAATTCATTCCTCCTCGTGGGTTTTATGAAATGTTTATATTTGTTATGGCAAGTAATAGACTTTAGAAAAATCTTTTCAACATTTTCATCAGCTCGTGTCAGTTCACTTCTGAGTATCACTCATGGCTAATTGTCGAAATGGAATGATATTTTCTTTTAATAACATTATAACTGCTAACAGTTAAAATAAGTCATAGATATAGATACAGTTTCAAGATTTTCATCACCCTGTGGTAGTCTACTTCTAAGTATAAATGTAGTATACATTAGATTGGTGATGAAGTGATTAGGATGAGACCAAAACCAACGTACGTAACTGATTGTAGCTCGTTTACCATTCCAATATAATAAAACAGAATTTAGACACGCTCAAGTGCTATTGTGCCGCTGCTGAGTGGGGAGCAGAGAGATTGCGATGATTTTCCTTTAATCTATTCATTTTGGGTTAATGATGCTCGTTCAGATCCTAACTTTTCTATCGGTGAAGCCGACAACCTCGAAAGTCGTTTGTACTGCATTTGGTCTCTTTTTCACAATTATGTTTCTGTTGAGATAAATCAAACACAAAGTAACGAGTATAGCACTACATATATTTTGCTCTTTTTGTCGTTATTTGGGTAACTGCAGTTTGTTACTAAGGTCAAGATTGACATCGAGATGATTCCATAACTGTTCATTTTTCGTTCTTAAAACTAAACAAAAAATTCTCCACACTAGGATTTTCTCATGTAACGTGGAGGCGTTTACCATAAATAAATCGCATAAAGGTCGTCCTTCGTCCTAATCACGTGAGATTCGAACATGAGGGTTGTGGGAAAATCACTATTATTCACTATAAGGGGAGATAGAATAATGTGAAAATCACGTGTATTCGTGCGACGACAAAATACAATTTAATGTGACACGTGTGACAATTCTAAAATTAAAAAATTTACAACAATAAAAATACACGTAATGCTGGGACTAGCTTATAAGTTTTTTACGTGGTAGAGCCACGCTGCAGTTATATTAGTAGTATAGTTGTAGCATGAATGGGTTGGCTCGACCGGGGAAGGACCACGCTCTCACAGAATATCAGCGTAAAATAGTACCTTAATGCTGTTGTGTTTTGTATGGTGGTGAGTGTAGAGAACCGGAGACCCTTTTTACTGGAAACGAGGCATTCCATCTTAGTCCTCACGGGTGACAACACATCTGAATTTTGATTCGTAATCGAGTTTAGTGTTAGTGTTTAGTCTAAACTGAAGTTTGATATGTGTGTTTTGTAACTAGGTAACGTGGACTAGAATTTATTGGATTTTCGGCATGAAGGCCTTAGGCTAAGCATCGTCTAATGCAAGCAATCGAATGGTCTATATAAAAAAAATTAGAAGGAATTGATTTAATTATCGAATAGAGTTGGTAGACCTTAGATTTATCAAACGCTATTTACACAAAACTTGAACACTTTAGTGGAAAATGCTATATCTATCCTTAAATTTCCTGTTGTCGGGATGTAACAGCGGACGAAAATATGCACAAGCTCTTGCTTCAACACTGGCGTTATAATAGCAGTCATCTATAATTATTACTTACTAGCTGTGCCCGCGACTTCGTTCGCATGTAATCTTTTTCTCCAATTCTTTTATATTTTCAAACAGAGTATATATAATTATATGTTTATTATAATCAAGCAGATTATTTTATACCTACCTGAACGTTAGCTTCGTGAAAAAAGGCTAAAATAGATCAAATTTTTTACTTTTAATTTTGGATGACTTGATGGCAAGGATTAGCCATTTTATGATAATATCCACATTTTAAGAAAACCTAATGCCAGCTATCTACCACCTAATCCATTTCTGGTTTTCGAATAATAAAATCTTAATAAATACAAAACAAGGAGTCAAAAAGGGGATATAAATATGCAATTTAATTTAATGGTTTTATTTATTTAATCACGGTTTTGTTAGAACTTCAAAAGTAAAAGAAAATGTAAAAAAAATATATTCAGTTAACAAAGGACCTCTTCATAAACAACGTTCACCGTTTTGTTTTGTGGTGCTAAAATAAACAAATTAGTGGGATCGCTGATACGCGACATTGCCACATAGAGCTGCCCATGTGAAAAGCAGCTGTTCGTAAGGTCAACGCCTACTCTGCTTAGCGTTTGACCCTGTGCCTTATTTATCGTCATTGCAAAGCAAACACTCACCGGCAGTTGGACCCGTTTAAAACGAAACGGAAAGTTATTCGGAATAATCGGTATTCGTGGAATAAAAACTTTCTCACCCGCACCGCAACCGGTAGGTATCTCTGCCTCAACCACATGTCTCTGGAGAGCAACTACTTTGAGCCGAGTACCATTGCATAATTTTGGTGGACTTAAATTTCTTAAAAGAATTATGGGGATCCCTACCTTAAGTTTAATTTCATGTGCAGGGAGCCCAGACGCCGTTAATGCATTCAAAAACTCTACAGGATATGCTGTTACTTCTTCACGGTCAACTACTCTATTTATTGACGTATAGGTAACATTCTCCCCTTCAATACGTTCTAAAATGGTCATGTTGATACTTACAGCTTGATCATTACGAGGCGTAAGTATAGCGCGCTCACAAAGCCAAGAGTTTCATTGGTTTACTATACCAGCCAGATCTTCATAAACAGATATAATAAGTTCCTCAATGTTAAGGACTGTTTTGCACAAATTATTAATTAAATCTATTCTACCATCAACCTCAGGAAACCTACCTTCACCAATACTCAATAATAACTGTGAGAAATCTTGAGCATTTGTGTTCTCGCCTCTTTGCGCTCGCATGTTTGTGGTGAGATTTAACCTTGTAATATGGGGCCAAAGAATTGAATTTTTTAAACATGCGCTAATTTCATCGGCTCTTGTCCCGCGTGTAACTATTGGCAATGTCTGCCGAAAATCTCCACAGAAGAGCATAGTGACTCCGCCCATAAGTTCATTGTTGTGTCGTATATCTTGCAGCGTTCTATTGACGGCTTCTACTGCTTTGCGATGCGCCATTGTACATTCATCCCATACAATTAAGGTGCACTCACGAAGTACTCGAGCTATGTCACTATTACGTGAAATGTCGCAAACGGGGGTTTCAGTGTCGTCTAATTGTGTGGGTATTTTGAACATGGAATGTGCAGTTTTGCCTCCTGGAAGTAAGGTAGCTGCAATTCCGGACGATGCCACGGCCAATGCAATTTTTCCCTGGCTACGTATTTGCGCAAGGATAAGTTTCGTAAGAAATGTTTTACCAGTACCGCCAGGGGCATCCAAAAAAAAACATTTCACCAGAGGTGTTCAAAGCGCTGTTACATATACGATCAAAAATAATTCTTTGTTCGGGGGTCATGATAGGTACACCTACTTGAAGAATTTGGGCCAGTTCCTCTGAGTCGTAATTGGATTCCGTTGCATACTCTCGATTAGTTTGTTCGACATTTAAAAGAAATCACTAACAGATGCTTCAGCGAGGGTGTTGTCCCAGTGCTGGTCGTCGTCCAATAACCCTCGAGCCCGGCAAGCAGCTTGAAAAGAAGGATATTGAGTGTTGTTGAACATTTTCAAAGCCAAAAATGATGTGGGTCCTCGTACTGTATGCAAAAGTAAACGTACGTAAAAACATTCGGAGTTATTGGGATGTACAGTGTACACTCTGCCGAGCACATGTTCTTTAAAAAGGTTGGGAAAACCTTCAACAGGAATACCACGTCGGCGACGATTAAAAATCCTGTGTTGCTTATCGTATGTATAATACGCTGGAACTTCGTCATAAAGCAAAGTTCTTGCGAAATCGTCAGATTCGCATAATCGAAAGAACGCCAGTAAAGTTGTTTGTCTAGGATTTTCTAGTTGCTCCACAATATTGTCTGGGTGAAAATATACGCGTTGTCCGCCTTCCACGTGAACGTCTAAATGCATTACCGGGGGATTACGCTCGCTTATTGGGAAACTGAATATTCGCCATGCTGCCTCCGAAGAACTTATGTATCGCCCTGATTGAAATCTTGTAATTTCGTCAAATCTGTCGTTGCTCATTGCAAGTGTTGCTTGATCCGTCCCTTTATTTACATACTTAAAAATGTATTTAATTGATTCAACACTGTTACACATTTCTACGTTTATATGGGTTTGGAAAGTTCTCGATAGCACAGGTGAGTACGGCACTACCCACCTGTTATCTACTTCTACATCTTGTCCAAACATTCTCAATTTTGTGGTGAATCCTCCATACTGTGGAGCACGCCGCCGATATTTGGGATAACCATCTTCACCAGTGATTGTTTCTCTTAAAAGGCGTCTTGGATATTTTTTCGTACATTGTCCATCCTTCATGCACGGAGAATTATTATTTAATGCACCGCAAGGCCCGTGTATCATCTGTGTTTTAACAATTTGGTGTAAAATAGGATCATTTGTGGGATTTGGTAATTCTGCACTTATTATATTATCAACGTCATTAGGACGAATTTTTTGTAATAACCATAGAAGAATGTGAGCGTGGGGCAGCCCTCTTTTTTTGCTATTCCACGTTGTATGTATAGCATGACGTAGCGCCAAAAACGTTTTGCTTGGTTAATAAGTTGATTAACAACTTTAACTTTAAATAAAAAACTCGACTAATTAAATCGTGTCGATCGTACGATGCTTGACCTTCTAGCAGCTCTTGAGAAATCTCGATCCATTTAGGGTTAGTAGTTATTGTTATGAAAAGATCTGGCCTACCATACTTGCGAACATAACAGAATGAGTCTTGAACGCGTTCATTCATATTTCGGGGACTCCCGATAAAGCTGGAAGGCAATATAACTAAACGTCCTAAATTTTCTATGTGTGTATCTCCCTGTACTGCATCATGAAGATCCACATAATTTTCGGCACGCAACTGTCTCTGATGAGTACGAATGAATACTAAACGCTCTGTTTCAACTTTTGCGTACATATCAACAATAAACTGGTTAAATAAGCCACGAAATCGTTGTAAATATACAAAACGACGTTGTCTTATTTGCATGAGATAACAATAAAATTGCAGAGCCGAAACTTTTCTGTCTAACCGAGGTGCTCCTGTAGCGGGGTCAACTTGATAAACCGTAAAGTTGTAACCATCTTCACCGCGACAGTAAATAAGTGGGTATTGTAAGGAGTCGTAAGAACGATGAGTCTCACTAATTCGTTGCAGGCGGTCATCACGCGTGCGTACTATAATGTCGCGCTTGTCGCATTGCTGATCCACCAGGACAACTGCCACTTCATTGGTGGATGGAGAATTATAACGGCCGGAATGTTGCACTAAAGGTCGCTTATCCGCGCTAATAACAAACTTATAATTATTGTATTCATCTTGAGGGATCGACTCTAGTACAGCTTTGAAATTGGATACATAAGGGTTGACCTGATGAAGCATGCCCTGAAGCTCTGAGATAACATTAGCGTTTAAATTTGGGAAATTCTGCCTCCTTATATTGGCTTGTTCATGGTAATCAGAAACGAAATATATTTGTAAAAACTTTGGTTCTGTCTCAGGCAAAAGCGAACCAATTAAGTGGTAGACTTGCCCCTGCACTTTAAAAGTAGGCATAAATGTTCCATGTACCACTTGCTTGGCCCCGAAAGAAGTCATCTGGAATGCCCCATTGTATGAACGGATATTGTCTAAAAACTGCTTGGAATGTGGATGGTCCCCATTAAGTAGCGATTTAAGAGGTTCTGGGGGCTCTTGAAATATTTCCAATTGTACCTTGCCAGCTGAACAGCAAAACCCGTTTGATTCTTTAGACCACTTAAGTGATTGACAATGACTACAAGTGCGAATCATTCTTCCGATCTCGGCAAATTCACTATAGTCAATATTAAAAGTGTAGGTAAAACCACTATTTTCTTTATCAACCCAAGGGAGATCAGTGTAGTTCTCTCTGTCCATAGATGGCGGAGTAAAGGTGGGTGAACGATTTATAAAAGTACGAATACGATCAGCTTGTAACCGAATTGCACGTTCACTCTCTGTCTCGTTACTCCTAATTGCTTGCACTCTTTCCCTTTGTAAAGACAAAAGTTCGTTACGGTGTTGAAGCGAATTTTCATAATATCCCCTTGCCAATTCTAAGCGTAAGTCATGCTCCTGCTGGGTTTCATGTGTCCTACTTACCGAACGGCTCTCCCTATCTGCTGCTAACCTCGCTTCATATTGAGTAAATGATTCCGAAGCACGTGATCTTGCATGACGTTCCCGGTCTGCAGTCAAGCGTTCCGAATATTGAGTTAGCGTTTCTGAAGCGCGAGACTCAGCATGACTTTCACGGTCTGCAGTCAACCGTTCTGAACACTCCGTAAATGTTTCCGAAGCGCGAGACTCGACATGACGCTCACGATCTGCAGTCAAGCGTTCCGAATATTGAGTAAACGTTTCTGAAGCGCGAGACTCAGCATGACGCTCACGGTCTGCAGTCAAGCGTTCCGAATATTGAGTAAACGTTTCTGAAGCGCGAGACTCAGCATGACGTTCACGGTCTGCAGTCAACCGTTCTGAACACTCCGTAAATGTTTCCGAAGCGCGAACCTCAGCATGACGCTCACGGTCTGCTGTCAAGCGGTCTGAATATTGCGTAAACGTTTCTGAAGCGCGACTTTCAGCATGACGTTCACGGTCTGCAGTCAACCTTTCTGAATGCTCCGTAAACGTCTCTAAAGCTCGAGACTCGATATGACGTTCACGGTCTACTTTTAAACGCTGAGAGTAATTTGTTAATGTTTCCGAAGCGCGAGACAACGCGTGACGTTCGCGATCTGTAGCTAAGCGCGTTTCATTATTAAAACTGGACTCTGATGCCCGAGATTCCGCAGTTTGTTCTCTATTGTAAGCTAAACGGTGCTCACGGTCCTCATTTGTCTCTTGCGATCGAACTTGTCTCATCCTTTTAGCCCTTCTAGTGTATTGAGAAAGACTACTTTTCTTTTTTTGCGGCATTATTTAAAATTTATTCAACAACCAAAACACAAAATAAAATCCTTATCCGAAAATGTAATCACGTATGTAACAATTTAGTGATCACTTAACCTTAGACTACAATAATAATATTATTTAATTCAATTTAATTTAATTTAAATTTAATATATTATTACAGTCTAAAAAATCCAAACAACTAATTCCGTATCGTAAGACAAAATATCAGAAATCCGTATATCCGTAATATGATGTCATGAAAGGTAAAAGAATAGAAAACTTAGCACACAGTATTATAGTATTATCACAAATATAACAACTTTTACAAATTATCATATTGAGTAGATATAAAATAATGTGTCATTAAGAAAACTCACGAAAAATCTTACCTACGCGAGGTAGATGTTCAGCAATGACATCTAACGGAACGTAACGGAAAATAGTGAAATAAAACAATTATCATTGTACCAATATATATTTCATAAAAAAAATAGTTATATTCCTATTATAGGATAGAAAAGGACCTAACTAAAAATTATAATTGTTTATTATGTATTTATACAAATAATATATACAATTTAAATAATATATACAATTTAAATAGTCGCCGTGAAGTGACGTAGTTAGAGAACCATACTGTTTAATGAGGGCTAATAATTTTCTGCTCACCAGATGTCGCTAGTTGACACTGAGATAAAGTTTTTTGTTACACAATGTCATTTAATGGAGAAGTAAGTTTTTAATAAAAGTTTATCAGTTTCTAGAGTATTATACTAATACACAAAACAATGAGTCAGTGGTTTGCTGTTTAATTTTTTGCACATTTTTAACTTTTTAAAATTTTTCTACTTTCATGAATATTATGTATTTTTAATTTTAAAAATATAAAATATAGCAACAGTACAGAAAGAAACATTAACCTTTACATTTTTCGAACAAATTAACTTCCCCGCCCTGATATCTGTCAAATATTATACCTCACTTCACCTTCACAAGTGGCGCCACACTGGTGGCAGAAAAAGGTGTGGATGCCGTCATTGTAACTTACTTTTTCTTAAATGGCGCTATTATGTATTTAAATTAAACTTGATTTTCATAACGATAGACAAAATTTAAAAGCAATACATACATATAAAAAGCTTCTATAAATGTTTATATTTTTTAATAAAACTTTAATATGTATAATAAATAATTTATTAGTGCCTGAAGGGAAAACGTAACACTTTTTGCATTTTAATAATAGATGGCACTGTCTTATAAACATACAACGTAGTCGGTGAAGTTTTAAACTAAGTGTCAACGGTTAACATAGTATATTAAGCTTCAGTTATAAATATACATTACAAATAAAACTTTAATATATGTATAATAAATAATTTATTAGTGCCTGAAGGGAAAACGTAACACTTTTTGCATTTTAATAATAGATGGCACTGTCTTATAAACATACAACGTAGTCGGTGAAGTTTTAAACTAAGTTTCAACGGTTAACATAGTATATTAAGCTTCAGTTATAAATATACATTACAAATAAAACTTTAATATGTATAATAAATAATTTATTAGTGCCTGAAGGGAAAACGTAACACTTTTTGCATTTTAATAATAGATGGCACTGTCTTATAAACATACAACGTAGTCGGTGAAGTTTTAAACTAAGTTTCAACGGTTAACATAGTATATTAAGCTTCAGTTATAAATATACATTACAAATTAAGAACTTTATGTAATCTACCTTAAGACTAATGACATTTTATGCACTTATTATAAAATTATAAAATTAACTCCAAAGAAAGGTAAAAAAACATAACCTTCTTTTTTGATGCTCCGTAATCGGATAAAAAGTAGCCTATAAGTTGCCCCGGGTTCTTAACTACCCACTTACAAAATTTCATGTAAATCCGTCTTGTAGTTTATGAGTGAATCCGTAATACACAGACAGACAGACAGACAGACAGACAGACAGACAGACAGACAGACAAAAATTCTAAAAACTACTAATTTGGTTTCAGTACCGCTTGTTTAGTCCCCTGGACTTGTTTTTTTTCAAAAAATAATAGAATTACAGACACGACTTTTCTACAGATTTATTATATGTATAGATCTACAGTATTTATTATATGTATAGATTTATGCCTTAGCGGCTGCAAACGTACTCCAAGCGAAAAAAAACATCCCGCCATAATTATACATCGTTCACATAAAACGAAATAAAATTAACTCTTCTACAATTATTCTCAATCTTCCATCTCACTGTAAAAAACTATATATAAATTTTTTCGATAGCGACGGCGTAAAGTTTATATAAGTTACGTCTCGAACGATCAAAATTGTCGCTCGCACTCGCAAAATACTTCAAACAACCAATCACGAGCGTTATTGTTCTCACTGTCGAATGTGAGTCAATGTTCGATGGTCGATATCGACTACTTAGTAAACTCGCACTCAGGAATTTTGTTTCGAATTATTGTCACTAGTTGGCGCTTTTTTATTCCATACAAATCAAAGTTAACTTTATCGCTATCGAACGCGTAGAAAAACTCGCACTAAGCACACTGATTTACCACGTGATCGACGGTGAAGGAAAATATCGTGATGACACTTCCATGCCTGATAAATTATATTGTATTTTGAGGTCATCTAAAGTCAGCCAACAGGTTCGGGTGCACCGAGATAGATTTTCACATCATTTCTAAAAGTTGGTCTATGCTCACGTGTGGGCGTAAAATAGGCTGTAACCTATTCCTTAACCTTGTCTAGTTAGTAGGCCTTCTATTCTCTATGTATTCCGGTTTGAAGGAAAACAAAGTCAGTAGCGTTACAGACTGAGGTATTTCATCGTAGTTCTAACAATCACCATCACAACATTATGATTTATGAAATAAATTACTAGGTTTCAGAATTATAATATTAAGTGAGTTATTATTTTATTTTGTTATACGAGTACCTGTTTAAGTGTAATCACCTATTTTATTTCTGTATATTTTGCATGCCTACTGGTAAAATATGGCTGAACTCACTACCTATATTACCATGTACTGTACCCATATTTGCAAAATAAAATATCTTTATCTTTATCTAAATAAAACATTGATGACATCGATATACAGCGAAGCTTATGTTTCTACTGGTTTAAGAGCCAGTGACCAGCAGACCTACGTTATTTCAATAAGCTTACCGTTTCTTTCAGTTAATCCCCTAAACCTGAGGTACATGAAATGGAAATGGGGATCTTTAGTTTAACCGGCGGTCAATATAGAGACGCTCAGGTATTAAAGGTGTAAAAAAATTATCAAAAAACGTGATAGCAATAAGTCTGCCGCTTTTATTGACATCAAAAAATTCAATAAAAGTTACCGAAAAATAACATAGCAGATAGCTTGAAAAGTACAAATTTTTATTAATAATTTAGGTTATTTCAATAAATTGCAATTTTTATATATATTATTGATAATATTATTTGACATGTACAATTTTGATGGCAGACATATATTGTGATTCTATCACGACGGTTCTATATTTTGGGCGTCTATAAGCGAATAATATAAAGCCAACTAAAAAGTTACAGAACAGAGAAAAGTTTGATATCCTATATCACTTCTACAGCTAAAACGTTTTTAATGTCACTAAATGATATATTAGGATCCATCAAGCCATTTAGGCATACATACATTCGAAAAACATTATAATCCTTCTGGGACGGTCGAATAAAAAATCGTATGGTGAGTGTAGAGATCCAGAGACCTTTTTTACTGGAAACGAGGCAGTCCATCTTAGTCCTCAGGGGTGAAAACGCATTTGCATTTTGATTCTTGATTGAGGATGGATGTGGATGTCTATGGGCCACAGCATCCACTTACCATCAGGTGGAGTGTGTGCTCGTTTGTCACCCAATGCAATAAAAAAATTAGTAAATTAAAGAAACACATTTATTTGCGACTCAGTGCTACAAGAATATTTACGGGAAAAGTATAATAATATTAATAAAAGAGACTCCCCATTTCCGGTTTGCTTACACCGAGGACAAATATGAGATTAGTCGGCAGTTACAAGATCTTTCGCTCATAGCTTTTAGCCTTCAATTACTGAATGAAATTTGGTAACGAATTCACATGGCAACATAGTTTTGTATATTACTATTTAATGTATTAAAAAAACTTCCACCGGTCATATCTTGCTTCCCGTACAAAAGTTTCCTCAAAGCAAAAACACGCCTTTGTTCCCTTCTGTTATTATTATAAAACGAGACCGCACAATAAGAAGCCGTGAAGAAATTGAATAAGTTCTCCATTTTCATTAAAAAGGGAGCAAGCTATCATTGTTTTCTAAGTAAAATACAACGGATCAGGGATCTGAATGAAGAAGGAAAATTTTTGTTTACCTTTATTTTGTTCCTGTGATTAATTCATTCCTCCTCGTGGGTTTTATGAAATGTTTATATTTGTTATGGCAAGTAATAGACTTTAGAAAAATCTTTTCAACATTTTCATCAGCTCGTGTCAGTTCACTTCTGAGTATCACTCATGGCTAATTGTCGAAATAGAATGATATTTTCTTTTAATAACATTATAACTGCTAACAGTTAAAATAAGTCATAGATATAGATACAGTTTCAAGATTTTCATCACCCTGTGGTAGTCTACTTCTAAGTATAAATGTAGTATACATTAGATTGGTGATGAAGTGATTAGGATGAGACCAAAACCAAAATACACCAGTGTGCGTGAAATGGGCACGCGTGGGAGACAAATAGTGCTGCACCATGCACTACCTGCCTCAATTTAAATTGTAGATACTGATTGCATTTTATTGATTGTATATTCGTGTCTAACGATTTGTCGCAGATGATGGAAATGAATATTTATCTCGCTATTTTCCTTTTGCATTGCCAATCTATTCTACCGTCAGTTTATACTAAATCTATGAAAATAAGATATTATACAAAGTTTTTTTTAGTTATAATTAACACCATCATGCGTTACTTTGCGAAAGTATGGTACTTAGGCTGTATCGAGATGATTCCA